TTATAAAGTGATATATAATATATAACCCTTACGTGAAGTATTATCAACAGTCTCCTGCGATAGAATATATCTTCAGGCTTAAATCTTGGAATATATGAAACTTATGATTCCATTAGGAAAATTTCAACAAAGGAGGTTATTCTGTTTAAAAACCATATTTCTCTCTGAGGACGTTCATGCTTGACGGCAGGGGAATTATTCAGACGTAGGCTGCGTCAAATAAGTAAAAAAAAAAAAAAATAGAAGACATTCAAAGCTCACCGACTATCTGAAGGAATAAAGCAGTTAAGGATATAACTGGTTTAGAGTACAGAAATATGCTGCAGAAAAGAGAAAGATGTGTTAACCTTTATATAATTGGATGATTATTTTCCCCTTAATATACTTTAATGGAACCCTTGTTTTTCTCTTCTAATGGTGAAGTTTTGTTCGGTCCTTAAGCATACACGTGATCACACTTTCTAATAAGGGCGAAAGCAGCACGATTTGCATTATGTTACAGATACGTTTTCAAGGTTCCAAACTTTCGCAGCGCCATTGCCAATTTATCTTGACTGCATTATAATACAGAATGCTGCATGACTTAAAAATGAGTGCGTGACAATTAGTTTGACTTTTTATTCAGTATTCGAGAAAAATCAAATCATTTTTATAGAATTAGAAATAATAGCTGTGTGTGTCTGAAACGTGAATATTGTATTTTAATAATACAGAGCATATTCCTCGTTCGACCTATTAGCGCAAAGAAATGATTCATTAATCATTTAAGTGATTTCTCTCCCAATGTTCCTCAGCTTTTTCATACTATTATTCAGTGCTTTGAAAATAGATTGCAAAAATATTATCATATTTTTATTTTAAAACTATATTTCCTTTAATAAAACAGACATAAACTTATGTGCTATAATTAAAAGATAAATCAACGATTACAGTACTGATAAAGTATAGAGTGAAGTTATTCTTCCTACTTCTTTTTCCCCTTTTGTTGTAATCTAGGAAAATTCAAAAAATTCAAAAGATTGCAAAATTCAAAATATTCTCTTTTCCCACTTATCTGCAATCTTCTTTATTAATTCACAATCATCTGGTAGAATTAAGCGTAAAAGTCTAGTTTTTCCTCACATTGTCTCCTTTTGTAAGCCAGATTAAAAAGAAAGAATTTCAGGAAATCTTTCGACGTTAATACCTGAGTTACATCTTCATTGTTAAGAAAGAAAAAGATCAGTACAGCAGAATTAACAATATAACCGACAATAACCAAAATTACGGCACGTTTAAAGGTCTAAATTTAAATGCGAAACTTATAAGATGAAAGAAATATGTAATGGGCTAACAGTTTAAAACCTTAATTAAAGAAAATATTTGTGTTCTGTTTCTGTCGTCTAACGTAAGAAACCTTATCTAACCAATAAATAATCCAGAATACGAAGATTAATTTATGTGTCGATGTGTTAACATTGCAAGTATTGTCCATGACTTTCAGAAACAATTTATATTGAAAAACGCTATATTTATTTTGGCTCATAGCTGAAACGGTTACTTTACATCTCTGTTTGTGTAAAGTGTGGCCTATGATCATGTTGGTAATTCGAGTGATGAAAATTCTCTTAGTTTTAAAACAAGTATGGTGCCCATGTCCGACGTCTTGGGTTAATTGCTTGTTCGAAGAATATTAGTTTTAGTGAATTGGAGGTTCAGGCTTGGATGAATTTAGACAATTATCTTCCTGTCACACTCTTTTCACGAAATAATTAAGCATATACTGGGAAAGGAAAAAGATGATAAGGAGGAAAGAAAGTATAAAGATGGAGAGGGCACACAGAATAAGAGAGCTACGTAGAAAGAAGCTGATGAAGTATTGCAGACTTTCATACGATTTGTCAAGCAAAGTTCGCCTATGTCAATACATGTTATGAAACTTCATTGTTTACTCAGCGAATTTTTAAAACTCCGCCGACATTCTCGTAAGCAGGCAGACATTCGAAGTTATATGTCATCGCATTAAGAAATTCATAACTTTCACGAGGTAATATCTTCGGAAATTTTTAAATGTTGTTCAATTTTATTTTTCTGAAACATAAAAATCATGCTTACAAGTTTTAATTTTTTTTAAAAAAAGTGTACGATTTTGATATCATTTATTTAACAATGATCGATAGATCATAAAATACGACTAACGAACTTCGTGTGTTGTAACTTTTACAATTGGCATCACAAAACATGAATGAGTAAGTTTTAGAAATACATATTTAATTATCTGGAAAAAACTCTTATTCAGAATTGCTGAAGTCCTGTTGCTACCGGTTGAAAGAGATTCTACTGTATATCACTTTGCTTTTTGAAGGAGAGAAATCTACTTCGACGCTGAGAATGATTAGGATTATTTAGGTTACATCAAAGCACACGAGGACAATCTGCTGAAGAAAAGGAAGGCCTTCGTGGAGGACTCTTTAAGGAAATCTAGCTCGTAAGGAATTTACACGTGGGGGAAAAAAAGACTACTACGAAAGTAAGAAAATCTTGCACTTCCATATATATATATATATTGCCTATCTACATATCAAAATGAATTTATAAAGTAAATATAGCAATCAAATGCACTTTTGTTATCAAATAGAAAGAAATCTGGCAAAAATAAACATCGACAAATAATTAAGGCATAGAAATAGTACCCCAGCTCTTCTTCGCCCTTCATTATTATTATTATTTATTTATTTATTTTTATTTATTTTTATTTTTTATTTATTTATTATTTATTTATTTATTTATTTATTTATTTATTTATTTTTGTTTCCGCGATACCCTTACAAACACAGACATTTTAAAAAGCGGGAACTCCGCTGGTAAATAATTACATTTCAAAGTGTAGTACATGCAGTTTATTGTAAAACCAAAACGTAGATTGCCATAAAATAAGTCATTTAGCAGACAAATTATTGAAAATTTGGTGTTAATATGTTATTGTGTTAAAATAATTATTATAATAAATATAATTATTCCGTCTACCATTGCATTGCTTATTTTGCTTCAGATTCTCTAAATAATACAAATGAACTAAATAAACATATATAATACAAATGAACTAAAAAAACGAAACAAAACATTGTTGCCTCTTAGTTAAGTTTAAACACCCAGAAAGAAGTCATTATTCACATTAAGAGCTCTCGCCTCGTAAACTCTTAATGATATATATTTAAGCAAATAATTCTAATAATCATTATGCTTTATTTGTCCTAAGATGGAATTTACTTCAGTTTTTTAGCATTAGTTTTGCAATTTATAATTTGAATCAAATTTGTTATTCATTTTTAATATTTTTTCTGATTTGTTATTGAAGTAAAGCACTTTATAGTGATTTTCTTTAATAATAAACTACCTATATATCATATATACTCGCGTATTTCAACCTTTTTTAAAAAACAATTTTATCATCTAAAAACAGAAGTAGGAAAATTACTTGCTATATGTCATTTCAAAAGAGAGAAGGATTTAAGAATAGCTTAATAAAAAAGCATACTTGAATAGATGTACTAATATTACTCTGTTAGACATTTTAAAGAAATCAGTTACAGTTACAGTTCTTCGTTTCTAATCTTTTCAATCCCCTCAAATTTCATATTGGCAAACAAGTTTGGGTTATATGTACAAACAACATTCCTTTTTAGCTATGCAATTTCAATCGAAGATTCTTATTGCCAAAAATTGCATAAATTTTGGATATCTCTAGGGAGAGTGGTTAGATTAGGTTATTTAAATACAGCAAAGTATTCAAGGGTCATCTCCCTACGGGAAGGAATGCCTTAATTGAGAACTTTCTAAGGAAAATTCGTTCTTATTAAATATTACACATGGAGAAAAACCAGGAAAACTATCCATGTGAGGAACCCGCTCACCTGGTTCGAACCCCTCTAATGAAGAACAGAAGAAAATTTATCAAATTTACAATTATACAAGTAAATCAATGTTCCTGAATCAAATGTTTAATAAAGTTGGGACGGAATACCAGTAAATATGGTACGTGGCATCTTCGGACTTAAAAAATTTACCTTGTTTGCTTTTCTTCCTAAATTTTTGTTTCTTTGCTAATCTCGGAGCATGATAAACGCCTTTGACAAAATATTACTGATACTGGAAAAGGGTATGAAAGGTATTAGAGTCAAAATACTTTTGTTGATTTTTCTTGCGCTCTCAAAAGAAGTAGTTTAGAAAGTCCTCCACGAAGGCATCCTTAGGTAGATAGCCCTCGAGCTTTGCTGTAATCGCATAAACCAAATCCAAACCAAAAGAGGTATTTCTTCGAGTCAAATTCAGTACTAAAATGTCGCATATTTTCGTCTAAGTAACTTTCTCATTCGAAGTACATATTTATGCATGCAGCGATATCTGCGATTTGAGTTATCTACGGTTTACAAAGCAATTTACAAAGCAAAACGACAAGACTGATTTTAAAAAATAAAGGCATAAGCCGTTCTTAAATTGCAAAACGGGCGCCAAGCAAATATAACTGCAACATGTTATAAGATGTGGCCTAAATATACAGGATACATTTTCCCAACTCAATCCTGACCATGGGTTCAAGTAACGCATGCGCAGTTCGAACCAGACTTACATTAGTTACATAATTTTTTGATGGAAAAGCGTGTTTTTTATTGTTCTGTCATCCTTTTATATCGTGTATTACTCTTTTTAATTTGATGGATAAGAAAAAAGTAAACATTTGAAGTTCACTGCATTAAATGGATTAAAATTAATACAAGTTATGGAAATAATCAAATATCTGGAATATTTAACTTATTTCAAGCATCTTTAACTTAAATTCAAATACTACTATTTGGTGTTACATTTTCCTGTGATTATTTCAAGTGAAAAGAATATATTTCAAATCTTGTGTGCTTTAAAAATGCATGCTTAAAAGCTACTGTATATGTATTCGTTCCTCGGTTTTTCGATTTCTACTCAGAAATAAAAGCACCATAGAAACAAAAATTAATACAACTTACTTTTTGAGCTGTTTCTGATGTCACTCAAAACACCATGTTTTTGCTGACATCTCGGAATAATAAAATCACGGAAATTCTGATATATTTCTTTCCAGGATAGTAACGCACCATATACACATACACACACACGTCTTTACAACAAGCAATAAAACCACTTTCTTTTTATGCCGCGAACAGCTGCTTAATAGCCAAAGGCGTTTTACAAAATTCTTCAGGCATAACTTCGAAAAACATTAATGTTCTACATGGACTGAACGTGATGTAAGGTATGTTGTTGTTCAAAGTGAGAGTTTCATGGAGCAGATACTTTGTTCAGCATCAACAATCTGATAAATGAAGACTGCTGAAAATATGCACAGTGCAAAGTTTGTCAGGTTCTTTCAAAAACGTCGAAAACAGTGTACCGTTTTTTAATTTGATACTTTGAAGTATTGTTCCATAAACACTAAATTGCTTTTAGAGCAATGGATCTATAAAAAAACACATAGGTTCTCCAAAATTTTGAGTTAATTTTTCCGTTTGCAAAAATTTTCAAATAGCGCAAAGTAAATTCTAAAATAATGTAAATACATGCGTATCTTCGAAAACGTAAAATAGTAAACACAGTCAATCAAAAATTTGAAAAAAAGGAAAATGCTTTTGAAAAGTTAATAACTAACAAAAAATCGGTAGGTGTCCACAGCAGAAAAACAGCATATCTTCTCTCAACACACAGTGCTTCCTAAACATCAGTAACCATCAACTAACTTTTCATTCGAAAGTTTGGCCTTTCAATGCTGCTTCCCTAGCAGATAGATGTCAGACGATTCATCTCCGCAAAACGTCATCGGTCACTTCAACCAATAGAGATTCACCTCCAAACTTCTACAGGTGAATGCGCTGCGTTATTTTTTGTTTTTACATTGACTGTTATCGCCTTTTGGCGATTTTTCTTAGCCTAGAGTTTCAGAGTTTTTTACGAACGTGATAAATGCGTTGAAATATCTCGAATATAGTCACATGGAAGATCTAAGCCAGCCGCAACCGGTGTGCCGCGGCACACTGGTGTGCCATGAGTAGGATATAGGTGTGCCGCAATCAAATACATGTATTTGATATTTTGCAATTTTTTATCATGTATCTAATACACAATTACAATTTTTTCCTTAATAATATCTGTTTTAAATGTTTTTATATATTTCACTGTTGTGTGGTTGTGTGTGTGATTGTAAGTGTGTCAGCATTTGAATATAAAACTTTTGTATTCATTGAAGCAAGCGCAGGTATCACATTGATAATTATTATGACTGCATATAAATAAATATGTTATGGTTTTATAATTGTATATTTTTCAAATTAAAAACAAAAATTTATTGTAAATTTTGTGTATAAATCAATACGTATATACATTAGCTTTTGGTGTGCCACGAAATTCCAGAAAGATTTTTTGTGCGTCGCAGGTGAGAAAAGGTTGCAAAGCACTGATCTAAGCAACCAGTACACTTTTAGTATTTTTTGTAATAATTCTTACGGTATGTTCCCCCCCCCCGCGCACAGACGCTCTTGAATAAACTTCATATGCCATGGCTATTATCTGCATTGCCTATACAAAGGAAAGGAAGATTATTAATGAATAAAAATTTCAAAAATAGGGCTTTCAACACTCCCTAGCTTTAACAACACATCATACATTCAAATTTAAAATAAATTATAAATTTGAATAAAAATTGCTGTAATGAAATATTTGTAAATATGAAAAATACAGAATTGAAAGAAATAGTATGTGTAAGAAAATGGAGAAAAAGCTTTACAAAATTTTTTCGAAGTTACTTGCCCAGGCCTATTATTTATAGGTATGAATATTCATACAATGAGAACCCTGCAGAGCGAGTCGGCCGTTTCTGTCCGTTTAGGTGTTCCGTTAAGTGCCTATTCCATAATGATAATACATTCGTTATTGTCTTATATAAAATATCAGGATAAAAAATACATCCAGCAATCATAATTAAGTTAGATCTAGTGAAAACTGCCTTACATTTTAAATTATTGACAGGTTTTAACGTTTTAAATAATTATGCTTTTCAGCTTAAAATTAAATGATTAAGTTTTTCAGCTCAAATTACTTCCTTTTGGCCCCCAGCTGAAAAGTTAGTGTTCGAACTGCCTATATTCATTTTTTGAAAATATTTAAAAATAATGCTTCATGAAAGTTAATTTTTACGCATTCATTTATTTGATATTGTTAGACAGGCCTATGATAATTAAAGTAAGTTGAACGCAGATAGACTAAGTTACAAATTTCCCTAACGCAAGTTAGAAATTCATTTTGCAAGCAGTATGTACTAAGTGTCAAGCATTGCAGTATGTACTAAGTGTCAAACATTGCAATATATTGCAAGCAACAATACTAAGTGTCAAAAACATAGTAGAACGGCCAGATGAAGGCAATTTTTTTCTAGAATGCCCTACAAATTAGTATAAAACAGTCTTCACCTACAAATTCTTCTAACTTGCTTTGTTCTACAAAATGGAATATCATTAACTCTTTAAAACACATTATCAAAAAATTCTTTGATTTCTTTTATACGCATATGCATTTCAAACATCTTACTAAGATATAATTTTTCTCTAGCAACTATGTTGGAATTCGTTAGTTTAAAAAAATGAATGAATAAAATAAAATTTTTAAAAATGTATCTTTTATTTAGAGATTAAATTATCTCCAGATTACGTTGGCATCTCTTTCTATTTCTTCCTAAACTGCATCAAAGCTTCGGCCCACCAGTGGCCGAGCGGTAACGTCGCTGAACACTGGTAGTTTGGTCCGAGGTTCGAATCCTGCGAACGAGCTGGCTGCATGGGCGTTTTCGTGGTATTCCCCATGTGTAACGTGTATACGAGCCAGTTTCCCTTAAAAAGTCCTCCACGAAGGCATCCCTCTCTTAAGGCAGATAGCCCTCGAGTGCTCTGCCGTCGTCTAATAAAACCAAAAACCAAGCATCAAAGCTTCAACTCGGTTTGTATCTAGAATCTAGCATGAATTCTCCGTCGTGCCACATGCAAACATGCTTTAAAGCTCTAACTTAGCTTTTGAAGTTAAGAATATCTTAATCTAATATTAGCAGTTAATAAGTTATCTAATATTAGCAGAGTTTTTCCAAACTTTTTGAGTCGTTACATTATGCGTATCAACCACGCAACTTCTAGAGTGTTGTTATTTGAGAAAGATCTTTAATTTATAGCTCAAGTCTTAGCTGTTTAACAAGTTCTGTAATTTAAAAATAATAAACATGATTCTTAACGATTTAAATCTTTAGGCCCTTTTTTAAAATATATCCCATTGATATAAATTTAAAAACCCTAATTTTTAAAAACTGCAAATGACTTGAGGGCAACAAAAATATCTGGCATTAGAAACATCTCTTTTTAACTGTAATAATGCCACGAAGGTTCATACAAATTATCAGTTGGATCTATTATAAATTAAATGTATTAATTAAATATATTATCTAAAAAATAAAGATTAAAATTATTCAGCAGTATGTTTACTTCTTTGAATTGCTTTGTTAAGCAGTTACAAATTGATTAAATACGAAAAGTAAAACTATTGGGTTTTGCGTTGTGGCTACGCTTGCTAAGTTGCGTGGAGGATAAAAGTATGAGAGGATAATGTAATGTGACGCAACGATCCGAAAAATCTACAAAAACTCTGATAAAATGTTTCTAACGGCAATACATTCAACAGATAATTCTTATGAACAATTGTGGAATTATTGTAGTTAATGAAATATATTTCTAGCGTTATATATTACGGACTTCAGTAGAGAATAATGGCTTGTTTTAATTTTTTAATTTAATTTATTTAATTTTATTGATTAGTTACTTATTTTCATTACTTTTATTTTTCTTTATTTATTTATATTTTATTTGATTTATTTATTTTATTCATAGGTTTATTTTATTTATTTATTTATTTATTTACATTCATATTTTTTTACTTATTCTTATTTATTTACTTATTTTATTTATTTTATTTAGTTGATTACCTCTCACCAACCTATATACATAATTAAGGGAGGTAATGTTTTCGGTTCAAAAATTCGGCAATTCAGTAAACAAGCGCAAACTAGAGTCCCCACAACACATTTCTGCTGTTTTTACCATAATGATTGTCTTTCTATGTGCAAGTGTGTGTCAGTTTTTTGGTCCGTGATAACTCCTATATCAAATTTTCAAAAATTTCCGTTTTCCATATTTAAGCTCTCTGCGTTCATATAAATAGTTGATTAGATGTTTTCGAAAAATTGGACAGCCGAAAGGTAGTACTTTACTTCAGGCCCACAATACGTTCTAATGGGCAACTGGAAGTGGTACTTCATTTGAAGCCTACAGCAGTTTGTAATGAAAAGCAATATTAATATATAATCCAAAACTTTTCAGTTTCAATATTTAAGACTTTAATATTGAAATGGAATAACATATTAGATTTTGGTTAAAACTGATAAACTGGAAGTGATACTTTACTTGAAGCTCAACAGATTTTCATGACGAAATATATTATGATATAATCCAAAACTTCTGATATTTTGGTATTTAAAACTCTTATATGCATATACTCGCATATGCTACAATAAGGATTGAAAACAATATATTAGATTTTGACAACATAGTATAATAAACCGGAAGTTCTATTTTACTTGAAACTTTTAACAGATTTTCGAGGAAAAATCCAGAATCACTGCAATCAGTTTGATCTAAAATAACACAGCACATTTTGAAGCTATTTCTGTTATATCTAGGCATTCTATTTATTCACATCAAGCGGTAGAAGAAATGATTTTTGTAACAGCGTTTCATTTGGAGAACTTTAAAACTCTTGTAATAGAAGCACGTTACGAAAAATTGCTCTTAATATTCTCTTGCACTGTTGATGATAATGAGGCACAGCAGAAAACACCAAATTCGAAAGCACCAAAAAACATATTGCTTTACTTCCTACTGGTTCCGAAAGTTATAATTACAAAACCACTCATACAAAAAATAACGAGCATTGTTTGCTTATACTTAAAAATCGCGGAGATATTCATGTAAATTAAAATGAATTTAGATTTATTCATAGTATAGGAATAACACAGAACATGATTAAATTATGGTAATCGTTTCAAAGTATTTACTTTAAATGTATTATAAACACTTACTTTTCTTTAATTATATTTTATTCAACTACCCAATTAAATAACTCTTTAATAAAAAGAAATAAAGGGACAAATATCTAATTATGTTGACACAAATTTAGATTAACCAGTTTTTACACATAGCTTAATAAAACATAACGTAAAATTTTGTATTACAGACCTTTCTATTTATTGGAATAGCAAATTAGATTTTTTTTATAAATGATTAACCGGAGGAGATACTTTGCTTAACGCCCATTGCTATTTAAAACATGAAATTGGTGGAAGTTCATGTACTAGCCACAGCAGATTTTTTTCAGTTGAATTCTACATTCAAAGCTAAATGAAATGAAAGTTAAGGAAGTGTCACGAACAGAAATTAAATATTTCATTTCTAGTTTTATATGGATGCAGAAAAGGTACGTTCTAGAATAACAAAATCTGCGTAATTAATTTAATTTTTCTTGCACTGATTATGAAGCTAAGAAAACTCTTGTTGCTAACAAAATGTGTTCCAAATAAAAAAAACTGAAAAAAAAATAGCAATGATTTCGATATTTGCCAGAAATGAAAGATTGTCTCATGCAGGAAATTAAAATTTAGCTCTATCAAT